TTTCGCGAGTCCGTAGCAGAACATGGAAAAAAGTGCACACGCGCGCGTCGTCGCGCGCGCATGCCGAAATCCTTCAAAAACCGTCGGTGTCGGAAGGATTTCGCAATCGAGTTTCCTAAACACACACAAAAGCACATGGTTTCGCAACACTGATTTGCTAAAAAAGCTTACGCGCGAGCTCTTGCGAAATCTTGAGAAGCACATGTTTTTTCCAGATTTTCACAAAATGCTACCAAACGGGCTTCGCGCGCGCATGTCGAAATCTGTCGAACGCCCTTGCGCGTGTGCCGTCGCGAGAATCCTCTGCAAAAAATGGGACGAAGTGCAGACGCGCGCGTCGTCGCGCGCGTATGCCGAAATCCTTCAAAACCCATCGGTTTCGGAATGATTTCAACATCGTGTGCCCAAACAACCTGCAAAAACACAAGGTTTCGCAACACGGATTTTCGACAAAAGCGTGCGCGCGCACTCTTGCGTCGTCGTCGTCGTCGTCGTCGTTGCCGTCCTCCCTCCTCCCGCGTCGTCGTCGTCATCGCCTACGTCGTCCTCTGTCTTTCCTCGTGTTCGTCGTCGTCGTCCTCTTTGGCGTCGTGGTCGTTTCCGTCGTCGTTGTCGCCGTGGTCGTCCTTCCTCCTCCTCTCTCGTCGTCGTCGTCGTCCGTCGTCGGCGTCTCGTCGTCGTCCCTCCTATTTCGTCGCCGTCGTCGTCGTCGTCGTCGTCGTCGTCTTCCGTCCTCCCTCGTCGTTGTCGTCGTCGCCGTCGTCGTCCTCCCTCCTCCCTCGTCGTCGTCGTCGTCGTCGTCTTCGTTGGCGGCGTCGTTGTCGTCGTTGTTTTCGTCGTCGTCGGCGTCGGCGTCGTCGTCGTCGGCGTCGTCGTCGTCGTCGGTGTCGTCGTCGTTGTCGTTGTCGTTGTCGTCGTTGGAGACGTCGTCGGCGTCGTCGTAGTCGGTGTCGGCGGCGCCGTCGTCGTCGTTGTCGCTGTCGTCGTGGGCGTCGGTGTCGTGGCCAAGTGCCATGTGGTACCTACCGTCACGGTCTTGTCTCAAGATGTCTTCCGACCAAGTTGCGGGTGGGAGGGTGGGATGTTTGCACGAGCAGTGGAGAGGACAGCTTCAAGACGGTCAAAGTGAATTGCACCACATAGACTGTACAACATCTATTGCTCCACATGTATTGCACAACATATGCTACAGATCATCAATCGCACCATTTTTCTGCACACCATCGGTTACACAAAATATATTTTTAAGTTGTATCCATGCTTATATGTACATCTATGTTCATACTCGTATATACAAACATCTATGCATATTTCATTTTTCTCAGCAGCATTTTTTGTAATTTCCATATTCGTATTTATGTTTACATGTATATGTTTATCTTTATGTGTAGATGTAAGTTTTTGTATATGCATGTGTATATGTATGTGTGTACAAGTATGTGTGCATGTATGCATGCATGCATGCATGTATAAATGCGTTGTGTATGTATGCAATCGTGTATGTGTATGTGTATATATCTGTACATCTATTTGCATGCATGTGTGTACTTATGTATATATGTATGTATGTATGACAATGTACATGTAATGTTATGCAGTGCAATGCACGTGTGCATGTATGCATATATTTATGCATGCATAAATGCATGCATGTATGCATGCATGTGTGTTTGTGCGTGTGACTGTATGCATGTATGTATGGATGCATGAGTGTGTCTGTAGGTATGTACGTATGCATGTATGTGCATGTGTATGTGTATGTGTATGTGTATCTGTACATGTATGTGTTTGTGTATCTGTATGTGTTTGTGCACGTTGACATATATGTGTAAGTATATGTGTGTATGTGTATGTGGATATGTATATGTATATATTTAGGTGTACGTTTATGCATATGTATATGTACACGTATACGTATGTGTACATGTATATGTATATGTACATATGTAGGTGTACGTGTATGTGTATGTGTATGTGTATGTATGTACGTATGTATGTATGCATGCATGCATGTATGCATGTGTGTAGGTATGTGGGTACGTATGTCTGCTTGTATGTGTATGTGTATGTATATATGTATGTATGCATGCATGCATGTATGCATGTACGTGTGTACACATGTATACATGTATGTATGTATGTATGTATGTATGTATGTATGTATGTATGTATGTTTATATATATATATATACATTTATGACTGTATGTATGGATGTATGGACAGCCCCCCCGGCACCCATTCTTCGTCTTTTTTCTTTCCACGTTGTCTTTCGCATCCCTTCCTCCGCTCCCAGAACTGGAGACACAGAGAGAAAGAGAGAGAGAGAGAGAGATAGAAAGAGAGAGAGGGGGAGACTCGAGGGAGCGGCGATCCCTGTGAAATCACAATGTTTGCGAAGCCTGGGGGCACCAAGCCCTGTTATGTCATTGGGATTTTGGGGATTTCTGGGTCAAGAATCCCAGAACCCCTGTGATTTCATTTGGATGTTTTTTTTTTTTTTGGGGGGGGGGGGGGATTTTCACTCTCATATAAAAAACAAACGACGACGGGGCTCCCCAGGACTGGAGGATTGAACATCCCAAACATCCCAATGACATCACATGGGTTCCTGGGATTTCTTGACCCAGAAATCCAAAACATCCCAATGACATAACAGGGTTTGGTGCCCCCAGGCTTCGCAAACATTGTGATTTCACAGGGATCGCCGCTCCCTGGAGTCTCTCCCTCTCTCTATCTCTCGCTGTCCCCCTCCGTCTCTGTCTCCCCCCTTCTCCTCCTCCTCCTCCTCCTCCTCCTCCTTCCCTGAAGCAGAGAGAGAGGTAGAGAGAGAGTGTGAGGGAGAGAGAGAGAGAGAGAGAGAGAGAGGGGGAGACTCGAGGGAGCAGCGATCCCTGTGAAATCACAATGTTTGCGAAACCTGTGGGCACCAAGCCCTGTTATTTCATTTGGATTTTTGGGATTTCTGGGTCAAGAATCCCAGAACCCCTGTGATGTCATTGGGTTTTTTTTGGATTTTGGGGATTTTCACTCTCAGATAAAAAACAAACGACGACGGGGCTCCCCAGGACTGGAGGATTGAAAATCCCAAACATCCCAAACATCCCAATGACATCACAGGGGTTCTGGGATTCTTGACCCAGAAATCCAAAGCATCCCAATGAAATAACAGGGTTTGGTGCCCCCAGGCTTCGCAAACATTGTGTCTTCACAGGGATCGCCGCTCCCTCGAGTCTCTCCCCCTCTCTCTCTCTCGCTGTCCCCCTCCGTCTCTGTCTCCCCCTTTTCCTCCTCCTCCTCCCCCTCGTTCTTCTATAAGCACAGAGAAAGTGTGTGAGAGGGAAAGAGAGAGTTTTTTTTTTTTTTTTTTTTTTTTTTTTTTGTTTTTTCTCTCCCTCTCTCTCTCTCACTCTCTCTCTCTTCCTCTGTCCCCCTCCGTCTCTGTCTCCCCCCTCCTCCTCCTCCTCCTCCTCCTCCTCCTCCTCCTGCGAACCAGAGGAAGGTACAGCGAGAGAGAGGGAGAGAGAGAGAGAGAGAGTGAACCGTTCAACGACCGATGCAAAATGAATGGGTGCTGGGGGGGGGCTGCGCGTATGTATGTATGTATGTATGTATGTATGTATGTATGTATGTATGTATGTATGTATGTATGTATGTATGCATGCATGCATGCATGCATGTATGTATGTATGTATGTATGTATGCATGCATGCATGCATGATGCATGCATGCATGTATGTATGTATGTATGTATGTATGCATGCATGCATGCATGCATGTATGTATGTATGTATGTATGTATGTATGTATGTATGTATGTATGTATGTATGTCTGTGTGTATATGTATGTATGCTTGCATGTCTGCGTGCGTGCGTGCGTGCGTGCGTGCGTGCGTGCGTGCGTGCATTATTCTGAAGGCCTTACTGCCAGTGCCGTCGACCCTGAAAGCGGGACCTCCCTTAGGACCCTGGGGCCCCCTCCCGGGACCCTGGTGTGGCGAGGGCCGGGTCTGGGGCCGGGGGCGGGGCTGGGGCTGCGGCAAGGGCCGGGGCTGGGGCCGGGGTCGGGACAGGGGTCGGGGCCGGGTCTGGGCCCTGGGCTGGGAACAGCTACTAGCCCCCTCTCCGAGGGGGGACCCCTCGACCCCTGTCCCCCCTTTGTACAGTTGGGACCACCCCGCGGGACCCCTTGGGAGTGGTAATCTGACCCGGGACCCCCTTCCTACCCTGCCCCCGTACCCCCCCTCCAGACACCCAGCCGTACGCACCCCGTCCCCCCCCCCCCCCTACCCCACCCCCCGGGTCAGGGAAGGGAAACAGGGAAGGGAATCGATTTAATTACGACATGTCTTTTCTTTGTTCGTTCCTGAATTTTCTTGGGACTGGCGACGACGACGACGAAGACGACGACAGCGTCTCACACAAGCTGTAGGGTCGGCGTGTATACATATACATATACATATATACTTTTGCTATATTCTAGAGTGATGTACTTACCTTACTTAAAGGACATACATTGCTCAACATATTGCAATACATAAATCGCTCCACATGTATTGCTAGAGTCACTCTTTTTGTTTTCCATGTTGGCCAACATATAGGTGTGTTCAAACTTGGGAGGCTGCCCGGCGCCAGAGCCGATGACATTCGCTCAGGTGCTAGCTGCGCAGTGGCGGATGCATTAATGATCCCAAAGGATGGAAGGCCCCCTGCGGCACGGTGGCTGCGGCACAGTGCCCTTCGTCTTCCGCCTTCTTTCCCCAGCTCATCCTCCCCCTCTCCCCCGTCTTTGTCGGTCCTTGCGCTTCTCTCCCTTTGTCGTCCGTCGTCCTTTGTCCGTTGTCTCAGCCCCGTGTTCCGTCGCGCTCCGTCCTTGCTCCCCCCTGCTCCGTCTTGCGTTCTCGGTCTTCCCTTCTCGTCCTCCTCCCTCGTCCTGCTCCACGCCGCCCCCCTGTCCTTCACCAGAGGCTGGCTCTGCAGAGGGGGGGGGGCTGCCCCGAAGGCCAAGCCGGCCGCGAAGCCCGCTGCTGGCAAGGGTCGCGAGCCCGCCCCTGCCGCCAAGCCGGCCGCGAAAGAGCCGGCCGCGAAGAAGCCGGCCGCGAAGAAGCCGGCCGCGAAGGAGCCGGCCGCGAAGGAGCCGGCCGCGAAGAAGCCGGCCGCGAAGAAGCCGGCCGCCAAGGAGCCTGCCGCCAAGAAGCCGGCCGCAAAGGCGGCTGCTGGCAAGGGCCGAGGCCTCCAGGGCCTGGCTTTGGACATGTTGCAGCGGAGAGACACGGGGAAGACAGGAGGAGGAAGAGGAGAAGGAGGAGGAGGAGGAGGAGGTGGAGGAGGTGGAGGAGGTGGAGGAGAAGCAGGAGGAGGAGGAGGAGGAGGAGGAGGAGGAGGAGGAGGAGGAGGAGTAGGAGGAGGAGGAGGATGGGGAGGATCAGGAGGAGGGGCCGAATACGTGGGCGGAAGAGTAGGAGATGGATGCAAACCTAGGAGAGGAACGGGGGTTGAGGGAGGTCCGCTTCCCCCATATTTCATTATTTCACGTGCCTTTACGTAGTCAGTTTGTCGTGGATTTGAAGCTTTCCCTATCTCGTACTCTATCCTCATTCCTCTCTCTCTCTCTCTTCCTCTTTCTCTGCCACGTATGTGGAGAGTTTACACGTCTAATCCTGACGTGGTGGTTTTACAACGGTTCACCTGTTCAAATACTTCTGACTTCCTCTGCCCCACTTCCCCCTCTCCCCTCGTTCAAACACCCCGTCTTTGTCTCTGGGAGGACAGCGCGGTGAATCCTTTTGGACGGGGTGATGGTGCTGAGGAGGAGGGAGGAATTTTTGTCTGTTGTCTCTCTCTCTCTCTCTCGTTCTGTCTCTCTTTGTCTATTTCTTTCGCGCTCTCTCCATATATCCCTCTCTCGTTCTATTGCTGTTCAGCAGTCATGGGACATGTGTCTCTTATTGTTTCTCTCTTCCTGTATCTCCTATATATACACAAACGTCTCTCTCTCTCTCTTTCCCTCTCGCTC